TATAGTAGTCTGATTTTTTGTAACTTTACACAAAATTGTAGATTAAAATAAATTGGCTATATCTCATATTTGATGAAAATCTGGTGAAAACTGAAGAAGTTATAATCTTTAATTTTATTAATTTCTTTATCGTTTCTATGGCAGCTGTATTATATGGTAGTTCGAGTACCATAAAATTTGACAGAAAATTGTAGAATAATATAAAATGGCTATGTATCAAATTTGATTAAAATCAGTTGAAAACTGAAAATGTTATACTTTTTAATTGAATTAATTTCTCGATCGTTCTGATGGGAGCTATATGATATAGTGGTCCAATTTTCATAAAATTTTACACAAAATTGTGAAATAATATGAAACGGCTATATCTCAAATTTGATGAAAATCTTTTGAAAACTGAAAATGTTATACTTTTTAATTGAATTAATTTCTCAATCGTTCCTATGGGAGCTATATGATATAGTCATCCAATTGAAATTTAGCCAATTTATTATTTTAGAATTTAGCTTTTAACTTAATAAAAATCGGGAGACTATATCATAGCTTCCATAGAAACTATCGTTAAATAAAAAGAAAAATGCCAAACTGTGGATTTTAAACTGTAACTGTAAAACTTAAATTAGAGTAGGATCATATGACTGTAATAAAAGTGGGAATTATTTGTTGTTTTTGATCACAAATATATATAATTAATATTATATTAATTATAAATGATCGAATTGCAACCTGCATTGTTATACAAGCTTTGACGTGCCAAAGTTAGCTTAATTTCTTGTTTTAGGGTAAAATAATTTAAGGAAATACGTTTCAAATTCCAGTGAGTAACTTTTTGTCTATTATTTCATAACCACCGTTCAAAAGTGAGGTCATGTTGCCTTTTTCGTTGTAAAATTAATATCTTTTGAAAAGAATATCGAGAAATAAGGGGATAATTGTTTAATAAAAAGAAATATGGTTAAGTAAGGTGACATAATTTTATAATTTGTATACAATCTTTTTAAACACTTTTTCGCTTCTTTTAAAAGGTTTTAATTTTGGTTTGGGAAGGTATTCTTCACTAATATCAGTGGCATATTTGTTTTCAATTGGTTTTATGGATACATTTACGTCAGCCCATTGTTTTTTTTATATATATATATACATATAATAATATTGCCAATATCACTCAATCTACATCTCACGGGTATCTATTCTAATGATATAGGTAAATTACAGAAGTTTATGTTATACCTACCTTAGAATACAAACTTTGGTCATCGTAAATTTAGAATCGATTACCTTTAAAAATACCCCAGTCCTTAAAATCTGAATTAAATACTATTCCCTAAGCACATGAACATATTTCAAGTGCAAATAAAATACATTTTTGTTTGAAGAATTAATCGATTATGTATTTGCTATTATTATAAATTAAAATGAGTGGCTCGGGGGCGTTTTGCAACTAGTGGCCGTGTATTTTTATACCCTTGCAGGGTATTAAAATTTTAGTCAAATTTTGCAACGCAGTGAAGGATAAATATCTAACCCTATGAAGAATATATTGGCCAGCACCTACAGTCGAGTCGATTTAAATGTAAAACTATCCTAGAGGAAGAAAATCTTAGATGTATAAAATGTTTCGCAAATAAGAGGAAAGCTTTTTTCTACACCCAAAAAAAATCCGGGATAATGTTACCAAATTTAAGTCTAAGTAGGCATGATTTCGGATCAATTATGACTGTTCTTAAACATTTTAATAGTTAGACTTCTTTTTTTAATACCAAAAATTCTTCTACAATTTTCCTGTAGTTCTTCTACAATATTATTCCCATATACGATTAAATTTAGATTTGTTGTGCTGAACTTTTCTTAAAGAAATATTTTTTACTTACTTATGCGATTAACATTAATTTTAAATATGTTAAATCTAATGCCTATATTAATATTTAACATATTTATGAGTTTTTTGCTGTTGCTTGCAAATGTCGTTGCGAACATATGTACATATATACATATGTACTCATCTAAAAGTTGTCCGGCAATCGTAACCTCATGGCAAGGATGTTAGAATCAGTTGGGATCATATAAGCACACGTGTGCCGATACAGGCTTAATTTGACCATTTAACCCGAATCGTAATTGAAAATTTTAGGGCACCACAACGATAAAATCTAGCCAAATATTTTTGATTTTTTCCATTTTTTTTGTGTGTATAAAATTCATTTTTAAAAATAAGATTAATTAAATTAAGAGTTAAGTTGCCTATTAAAAAGGAAAACAAAAACGTACTCCGACGTATGGAAAATTTTAATTGATTTTTATTAACATATGTGTGTAGATTCACGCACTTCTAATATGCTGCGGTGATCTGTCAATAAAATAATATGAAATTGAATCCGATATTTTTATACCCTTGCAGGATATTATAGTTAAATTTTAATTGGAACGCTGTAAAAATGCCATTTCCGACCGTATAAAGTTTATATTCTTGATCAGCATAAACAGCAGAGTCGATCTAGCCATGTCCGCCTGTCCGTCTGACTGTTCTTTTCTAAATGAATAAAAATTTGCAGTAGTCTTCTATATATATAAGTCGGAACCGAATCGGAGGACAAAATCATATTATCATATATCAAAATTTTCAAAATTTCCGTTTTATTTTATTCAAATCTGATTATTATATTATATAGCTGGCGATTGGAAAATGTATAGGAAATATAAAACTGTAACTGTAAAGCTTTAAATATAATATGTATAGGTGTATATAATGTGAGGTAATTTATATTATACGAGGTCTGTCAATTAAGTTCCCGGAATTTGGTAATAGCGCTGCGGCTGGCAACAGTAGAGCGCTCACTCCACCGTAATTCGTAAGAAGAATTATTTCAGCATCAGTCTGCGCAAGTTTCATGTGAATCGGTTGTTTGGTTTATTTTTTAAAGTGATTTGAATATAACTACTTAAGACACGACGTCGTGAAAATGTGTGATAAAATTATTGAACAAAGAGTAGTCATCAAATTTTTGGTGAAGCGCGGTGAACACGCGTCCGAAATTTTGAGACAGTTAACCGACGTGTATAAGGATGATTGCCTGAAAAAAACAGCAGTTTACGAATGGGCTAAGCGGTTCAAATGCGGCCGAGAGTCGGTAGAGGATGATCCTCGCGAAGGCGCTCCTTGCAACGCGCGGACCGCCGCTAATCTGGAACGTCTGCGCAAACGCGTACTCGAAGATCGACGGGTATCCCTTAGAATGTTAGAGGAAGAGTTGGGCATCAATAAAGAGACAATCCGGCAGATCCGGCACGACCTGAATTGGCCAAACAAGGTTGGGTGCTACATCACGATAATGCACCTGCACATTCGTCCTTCGCTGTTCGGGAATTTTTGACTCGTAATGGCATTCCAACGCTCCCGCACCCCCCCCTACAGCCCGGACCTAGCACCCTGTGACTTCCACCTCTTCCCACAATTGAAAACCCACCTCAAGGGAAACCGATATGATGGAGTAAATGGAGTCCAAACCGTCACGACGAGCGTCCTAAGGGACCTTTCTTCAGGGGGGTTTGCGGGGTGCTTCCAATCATGGACTCATCGCTGGCGGCGGTGCATCGAACTCAAGGGAGACTACTGTGAAGGAGTGTAACCAATTTTGAAAGATTTCTTCACTTCCCGGACAGTCTGAGCCAAATTCCGGGAACTTAATTGACAGACCTCGTACTAGGAAACCTGGCGAACTTTGTTTCCAGATGGTTTCGTTTTATGTAACATTTCTTTTGGTGATAAAAAATGAAGAATTTTTTTTTTTATTTTTGTTTTATATTTGAAAAGTAATGGATCCAGTTTAACTTTTCCACTTGCGCAGCATAAATCAGCCGTTTCTCTTTTGAACTTTAACGCATTGCAATATCGGCATATAGTCGTCATTGGTCCAATATCTAAATTTTCATCATTTATGATGCCAATTCAATCATTTCATTGATGCCAATGATCTTCGTGTCCTCACGCTTTTTCTCAATAGGACCATTCTCATATTATATTTTGTCTTTTTTCGTTTAAGTTCTGTGAATACACGTCGTCCTTTTGGACTATAACCTTAAATGCACGATCCACATAATTAACACATTTCAACTGCCCACATTAAGGACAAATTCCTACACTTTATTTATTTTATTGTTTTTAATTGAAATGTTAGGAAACGACTAGTTGATATATTGGTTTGCAGTAAATGCTATATATCAGCGATGGATATCCCGTTTTTCTGTTGAACGGGATAAAAAGTATCCTATGTCCGTCTCCTGGCTCTAAGCTACCTCCCTACCAATTTTCGCCCAAATCGGTCAAGCCGGGGTCAATACGGAAATTAAATATATATTTTTCAATCTTTCTGAGAGATTTTCTTAATATTTGTTTCCGTAAGAACCTTGTACAGAGTATTAGAAAACTACAAAAAGAAATCAGCCAAATTGGTCAAGCCGTTTTCATGTTATGCGGCGACAACGAAAAACGGGTTTCATTTTTATATATATAGATTAGATATAGACAGATTATTAAGTGCAATCTGTAAAGGTATACAAACTTCGGAGTTCCGATGTTAGCTTTCATTCTTGTTTTTATTGGAAAAACCTAATTTCAAAAATCCTGCTGCGGAAATACAATTTTGCAGCAAGGATCGCGGGAATGAAAAGGTTATACAAATTGTATCTCCAGTACGCATTGGGTAGAAGGGTATTAAGGTTTAGTGCCAATCGACAATGGAAAAAGCAAAAAAGAGGTAGATCTAGGACCTATAGTCCCTGAAATCTGATTTTTTACACGGACCAATGAATAGACGGACAGGTGGACTCGGCTAAATCGACTCGACTGGTACTGATAATGCATCCTTCTATCTGTTAAATACATACAAACATACCCTTTCTCGGTTGGCACTACGCTGTGCTATGTGTGCCGATTCTCCATACTACTGTGCGTATACATATATTGTAAATTATGCCAAATTACTTCACTCTCTTATTTTTAGGTGCTTTTCTCCTACTTGCCATTGGATTTTTGGCCATAACTACAGCAGTGCTAGTTAAAGTGTTTCAACCCTATGATTTAATATTCAAATGGGTAAGTACCAATAAATATAAACTAAGTCTCTTAACCCTAAACTTTGTGTTTGCCAAGTATGAGACTGCCGACGTACTGGTCTTTAGCTCGACATTGGCACGCAGTTTTGGCAATTCAGTTTTTTTTAAGGGGCCGCGAATAGATTCATCGAAAATATATAATTCCGTAGATTAACTTTGATTTTTTGACGTTGGTCTTTTGCAGAAGTTAATCATGTCTGAGGGAGGTGAAATCTTCAATCTTTGGGCCGTTCCACCAGTTGATCTGTACATTAAGATTTACCTCTTTAATATAACAAACGCAGAGGCATTTTTGTCTGGTCGCGAGCAGCTCAAGGTAGAACAAGTTGGACCTTATATATACAAGTAAGTTATAAATAATTCATAAAAATAATAAGGTCCAATAACTTTTAACCTCACTTAGGGAGATAATGAGCCACAAAAACGTTACATTTAATAAAAATAATACTATGAGCAGCACACCCAGTCATCCTTTGGTTTGGCAGGAGGAAATGTCTGGCAGTCGACACGAGGACGATGAAGTCATAATGCTCAATATTGCAATGCTGGTAAATAAATGTGTAACATTTCCGAATTATTTACAAGGGACAAAGTATTAAAAGCTAAAAAACTACTTTCTATTTAGTGTAATAAACCTCTTTTAGAATTCTGATATTCATACAAACGTGCTGATCCTAAGCGTTTTTTATCGCACGTTTCTTCAAGGTTCTATCTCTTGATCTATACATTTGTTTTAAAAAAAATAGCTCTATTTCGATATGGATAATAATTATCGCACAATTTCATAATTATATACAGGGGCGGTCAAAAAAATCTTCACAACGCCTGTTTTCACAGCCAAACTCATTTAAGTTGTTATTCTTTATGTTGTTTACCGATTTCCTGATTTCTTTATCGCTTAGATTGATCTATTGAGACAGAAGCCGAAAAGTAATGCGAAAGATAACGGTTCATAGGAAAATGTTAGAAGTAAAACAGTCAAAAAGTCAAAAAGATCTTAATAGGAATATGCTGCAACAAAAAGTCACTAAAATTGATAAAGCTTTGAAAGATATTCATGGAGATAATCGAAGCATTGAATGTAAGGAGGTCCATTACAACACTATATTAATTACAAATGTCAGTCATTAAATGCAAAATAATAATTGAGTAGATGTGACAAAGTTCCTGTTGAAAAACTCGAAATTGTAATAACCAGGTCTGGTTAATAGAAAGAGTAATTTTAGCCGGGACAAATAAAATGAGATTAGCGAGGATATAGAAATAGGTATAAAGACATCTGAGCAATCATTTTTTTCAAACTACTTTTGAATCATTTCTATATTACATTTGTAGATAATAGATAAACGACAATCGGAACTAAGATACTCTAAAAATATAAAATAAGGATATCTAATTTAAACTAGCTCGTCAAGTCCATACCTACTATATCTATCCTAACTAATTGCCTCAATAAAACTGTTTAATTTCCATCATTTAAATTTTTTATTTATTGGCTGTAGTCGACGCACAGTGGCGCCTCTCGAACACACACTTCAAAACCATACCTAACCCTGTAGTACCACATGTCATCAACAGTCATTAACGCGCCGACTGCGACTTCTACCGAGCCGACTGCGATTTGTATCGAGTCGACGCTCTGCCCACGATACAGTTACGACGGCCGTTTCGTCGGCAGTCGTCGACTGTACCATGGCTCGTTGATGAACGTTGATGAATTTGTTGATGAATTGTTAATGAATTTGTTGATGAATCATTGATTAATTGTTGGTAAATTGTTTTTGATGACAGCCTAGGACATGCCCATGTTAAATGAACCAGTAATTTTTATGGCCATTAATCGATGAATCATCAACAACAGCGCCTTGACTGTTGATGAATCGTTGATTTATTACTGATGAATGGTACTGCAGGGAACCGACAGAAAATTCCAAGTATTCCAAATCTGCAACCAAGATAATTTTTGGATTTTTTTTTTATAAAATATGTTTTAAATAAGAGTTTCTGTTTTTGCAACAAAGGAAAACATGGTTAATTAGTTGACTTTCATGTGATTTTACATAAAAAATTGATTAACTATAGTCAAGGTTTTCACATTAAATACATTTATAAACTGTTATCCAAACTAAAAAAAACCTCATTTTGGTTCGGGCTTTTACATGTAAATTGCTACCTGCCAGGAGTCTATTATTTTCAACCTTTTCTGGCTTAATAAGTGTATAACTTCTGAAGCTTCCAAAAGCCGCCATCTGCTCAATGCCTACTTCGCGTGTATCTTTCCTACATCAGAATCACTTTTGATGCACAATAAACAAACTCAGGGTAAAATAAGAAAGGAAGCTAACTTCGGCACGCCGAAGTTTATATACCCTTGCAGATAGAACTTCAATCACTAGGAATTAATACAAAATAAATTATCTATATTTATGTTAAAAAACCAATTAAGCAATGCCTGCTTTCATTTCAATCACCTATATGATCGTGTGTATGACAGCTAAATGATATAGTCGTCCGATTTTCATAAAATGAAAATTAAAATTCGTAAATAATAAAAAGGGCTATATTTGATTAAAATCTGTTAAAAACTGGAAAAGTTATAATTATACCATTACAGGGTATTATAATTTCAGTCAGAAGTTTGCAACGCAGTGAAGGAGACACCTCCGACCATATAAAGTATATATATTCTTAATCAGGATCAACAGCCGAGTGGATCTAGCCATGTCCGTCTGTCCGTCTGTCCGTTTCTACGCAAACTAGTCTCAGTTTTGCTATCTGAATGAAACTTTGTAGTTAGCCTTCTATATACTCTCACTCGTATATATGTCAGAACGGGCCGGACCGGACGACTATATCTTATAGCTGCCATAGGAATGATCGAGAAATTAAAACAATTAAAAATTAACTTGTTCAATTTTCAACAGATCTTCATCAAATTTAAGATATAGCCAATTTATATTATTCCACACATTTGTTTAACATTTTATGGAAATCTGATGACTATATCATATAGGTGTCATACAAACGATCGTTAGATATAGAGAAATAATGCAAATCTGTGAATGTAAAACTGTAAATATAATATGAATAGGTGAATGAAGTGAGAGCAGGTATTACTTCGTTGTTTTTTAACATAAATATATATAATTTATATTGTATTGATTCTTAGTCAGCAAAGTTCTAACTGCAAGGGTATACATATAAACTTCGGCGTGCTGAAGAAAGGAAGCTTTCTTGTTTTGAATTGTATTAATTTCTCGGTTGTTCATATGGCAGCTATATGATATAGCAGCCCGATTTTTATAAAATTTTACAAAAAATTGTAGAATATTTTAAAATGACTATATTTCAAATTTGCTGAAAATCTGTTAAAAACTGAAAAGTTTATTTTTAATTGAATTAATTTCTCGATCGTTCTTATAGCAGCTATATAATAAGAAGTCTGATTTTCATAAAATTTTAAACAAAATTTAAAAAAAATATAAAATTACTACATCACAATTTTGATCAAATTCTATTGAAAACTGAAAATATACGTTTTTTTGTAAACATTTTCCGATTATTCCTATGGTAGTTATATGATATAGTCGTCCGATCCGGCCCGTTCCGACATATATACGAGTGAGAGTATATAGAAGACTAACTATATAGTTTTATTCAGATAGCTTCAAAACTGAGAAGGAGATACGGACAGACGTACATAGCTAGATCGACTCGGCTGTTTATGCGTTGCAAACTTCTGACTGAATAATAACCTACAAGGGTATAAAAACAGAAAAAATGCTTGCACGCGGTTTAGTGCTAAGCGTAGCGCGCAACTGATTTGCAGTATTAATACTGTGAATTTGTTGATGTTTTTTGTTATACCCTTGCAGGGTATTATAATTTCAGTCAGAACTTTGTGAAGGAGGCACCTCCGACTATATAAAGTATATATATTCTTGATCAGGATCAACAGCCGAGTCGATCTAGCCATGTCCGTCTGTCCGTTTCTACGCAAACTAGTCTCAGTTTTGCTATCTGAATGAAACTTTGTAGTTAGCCTTCTATGTACTCTCCCTCGTATATATGTCGGAACGGGCCGGATCGGACGACTATATCATATAGCTGCCATAGGAATGATCGGAAAATTTTTACAAAAGAAAATTTAACTTTTTCAGTTTTCAATAGAATTGGAGATATTTGAGATATAGCTATTTTACTATACTCTACAATTTTGCATAAAATTTAATGAAAATCGGACTACTATATCATATAGCTCCCATAGGAACGATCGAGAAATTAATACAATTAAATTTATAACTTTTTCAGTTTTCAGCTGATTTTCATCAAACTTGAGGTATAGCCATTTTATATTAGTCTTAAATTTTGTGTCAAATTTCATGAAAATCGGACGACTATATCATATAGGTGCCATACAAACGATCGTTTGATGTAGAGGAAAAATGCAAATCTGTGAATGTAAAACTGCAAATACAATATGTATAGGTGAATGAAATGAAAGCAGGTATTACTTCATTGTATATAAACTTCGGCGTGCCGAAGTTAGCTTCCCTTCTTGTTTTTTTTAAATATTTGGGACATGTAAAGTCGCTAAAATATATCAATTCAAGTGATTATAGTGCTTATAAATATATATATATATTATATACAGAAATGCTTAATCTATAAAAAAAACTTTTATCACAGGTTTATTTTTAGTACTACTACTTAGTCAAAAAAAAAAAATAAATAAAATAACATTTTTTTTTTAGTTGCTAAATTATTTTTAAATGAGCAAATTAATAACAAAATAAGATAATAAATAATAAATTTTAAAATAAATGTTTTTTAAAAATCTACTTGAAAAAACTAAATTTTTCCAATTTGATACCCTATTAAAAGGCGAATGGGTGGGCGTGGCACATTGTCCAATATACATATATAAATTTAACAACAATTACCTAACAAAGGCCTTTTAAATTATTCGATTATATAATTTGCTCCAAAAATATTACTGAGCGACGGTACGTTTATCTTTTGGTGAGCTTACTAATAGGGCTCTCAATAGATTTCTTTATACTCGATTTTACTTATTATTAATTGATTAAGTTAGTTTAGTTGATGTAAATGCTACTCACCTCTTTACAGGCCATATCGCATCTAACTGCAAACCACCCGTTCTTAGTAAGAATGGCCCTTAAGACGTTGTTAGCGAGTACGAAATCAGAACCGATAGTTCGGACTACTGTTAGGGAGTTCATGTTCGGTTACCCTTCGACTCTTGCCACACTAGGCAATACCTTTCTTCCAAACTGGATATCTTTTGAAAAGGTGGGTCTTATTGACCGTATGTACGATTTCACTACGGATTACGAGACTTTCTACACGGGATTGCCAGATCCGGCGCTGTCGGGGCTTTATGCGACCTATCGCGGAAAAAAAAACCTTCCACAATGGGAGGGTAACCACTGCAGTAACATTGAGTACGCCTCAGATGGCACAAAGTTTAAAAGCTTTATTCAAGCCAACGAGACGGTGAAATTCTTCAGAAAAAGCATGTGTAGACCAATCAACTTGGTAAGTGTAAGAGGATCCGCTAAAATTACTGTTAAAATACTCTTTTATTTTTACAGTACCGCGTTGGCGAAGAAAAAACGTATGGCGCCCTAAAAGGTTACAACTACGTGTTTGAGGATAATGCTTTTGATAATGGTGTAAGCAATGAGGCTAACAAATGCTTCTGTCGAAAAGGTACGAAAAATTTGGTTGTCATGTTTCTCTTTCTCTCTCTCTCTCTTTTATTCGAGTATTATTTTTTACATAACCAGCTTTAATTTTACCTGATTAAATCATATTCACGTTAAACATTACACGAAATTTTAATTATTTTGTGTAATGTTTAAAGTGAATATAATTATATAATGTAGACTTAAATACATAAATTTGACATAGTACCGTTTTGTTTTATGACGACTTTATTTTCTTTTTTTGCCTCAGGGAATATTACATTACAAAACAAGAGGTATACCTTAAAGTTAAAATTTTGAAATTATATAATGGATTTTTCTGCGTTGAAGCACTACTAGGTTAACTAGTAGAACGTAAAAAGACTTTTAAATTACAGGCTTATTTTAAAAGGCCAATTAAGGAAACATCGTAAACAATTGCAAGCTAAAAATATTCTCGCGTGTGTCCGCAAGAACGCAACTTATACGCTAAGCTTAAACTCTTTCACAATTAGTTGCATTTAGTTTTAGGGCATGTGAAACAGTTGAACCCCTTTGCTCCTTAAGGATTGATTATTGGCCTTTTGTCCCTCTCACCTTTTCTAGGCGATTGTCAGCCGGTTGGACTAATTGACGTCACTGATTGCTACTACGGTTTTCCAATCTCCTTAAGCTTTCCTCACTTCATGAACGGCGACGTGGGACTGCAACAAAATGTTACTGGCATGAATCCTGATCCGGCCAAACACTCGTCAGTATTTGTTATTCAACCGGTAGGTGCATCTACATACGTCCTGGGTAAAGTGTTGCTAGCTAATCATTTTTATCTGTCGCAACTTTAAAAAAAATTTTATTTGTTTCGGTACGCGAATCAAATAAAAACACATTCACTTGATATAATAACACACTTGCAAGCGAGATTAAAAATATTTAGTAGTACATTTAATTTATTGAATAATAACATTTCCGGTTGATTGAATTTCATGTTCAAGCAGGTTATTTCTATTGCTCTTTACGCCTAGAATGTCAACAACAGGAAATGTTTAAAACTGATTTAAAATACGCCTAGTAAAAAAAAAACAAGTAAGAGGCCTTCTTTCAGTGCACTCGACTGCATATTCGGTTTCAAAAGCGTTGTGCCTAAAAGGGGAAAGTACTTCTAGCTATATTTTATATATATTTACTTTAGTATAAGAAACGTGTATGCAATTTCAGAATGATACCAACACCACTTATTCAGTTTGCGTGTACGGCAATTTGAAAACAAGTTCCGATACCTATAGCAAGAATCAAGTTTAGTGACAAAATTCAAATCTATTACACGCAGATCATTTCTGACACGCCTACTTCCGCCCTTACAATTCATAAGAAACGCTAAAAAACACAAACAGTGATCGTGTGTTTTAAATTAAAGTGTACTTTCATCAAATTATAAAATTAAATTAAATTACCAAATTATAGGAACTCTCAGGTTGTCTTTCGAACACAAGCGCCAATAATTTATTTTCAAGTCCATTTTGAAGTATAAATGAAAAATAATTCATCTAAAAAAATAATATTTAATCATTATACTTTTATCTAGTAAATGTAAATGAAAAATAATAAGACCAACATCCTTTAGGGATTTGAAAACGTTTTTTCAAGACTTTGTGTTAAAAGTCGATGACCACTTCGGAAACTGCTTAACCGAATTGTCACCTCATAATTAACATTTCTAATTCAACTAATTCAACCCTTTAATTTTAATCCAGTTTAAATACCCTTGCAGTATAACTTTAGTCGGAAGCTTGCAACGCAGTGAAAAAGATTTTTCCGACCCTATAAGGTATATATATTTTTGATCAGCATCTATAGTAGAGTTGATTTAGTCATGTCCATCATGTCCATGAAAATCGGACTACTATATCTTATAGCTATTAATACAATTAAAAATTATAATTTTTTCAGTTCAGTTTACTACATATGTATATATATTTTATTTAATTTGAGATATGGCAATTTTATATTATCTGAGAATTTTCATTTTAAATTGATGAAAATCGGGATTCGATGTATACATACAGCCATAGAAACTATAGTTAAATGTAGATAAAAAACACAACTTTTTAATGTAAAACTTTAAATATAATAGATATTAAATAATATATATTAAATATAATATATATGTGACTGTAACGAAAGTAGTTGTTTTGTAAAACAAATATATTCAATTTATTAGTATTGTATACCCTTGCAGATTACTACATTAAATATAATATATATTTATGTGAAAAAAAAATCAAAGTGATTCCTACTTTTAATACATTTAGACCAACATACACAATTTATAGTTTTACATTTACAGTTAGACATTTTTCACGATAATTAACTATAGTCTTTATGGCAGTTATATGGTATGATATTCAGTCTCATGATTATCATAAAATTAAAACTAAAGTTCTGAAAAAAATCTGAAAAAGTTAAAATTTTTAATTATATTAATTTCTCGATCGTTCCTATGACAGCTATGTGAAATATGCAGTAGTAGTAGTTGTAGTTGTCCGGCCCGTTGATTTGCGTAGAAACGGACAGACGGACAGAGCTAGATTGACTCGGCTGTTAATACTGATCAAGAATATATACTTTATATGGTCGAAAATTACTCCCTACTGCATTGCAAACTTCTGACTAATATTGCAATAACTTTCAAGACTATAAAAATAAATATAAAAAAGTCGATATAAAGGTAAATCGTTGAGTGTATGTTGACTTATATTCAAGGGTACTTAGTCTAAAGTTCTTCCGGAATTCCAAATAAGGTTAACTGCCAATTAGTTTGATCATTGAACATTCGATCCTCTGTCCACCTGATGTGAGCCGGACCATATCATTAAAAAACAGTTCCTTTTGTCTCAGAGTGTTAAGGGTATGGTTTATAATGGCAGACATTTGGTATTTCTTTCTAAATAAATAAATTAATTCATTTTGTTGGTTACTTTTCTAAGGAATCCGGACTACCGCTATCACTTTCTGTAAAAGTACAAATCAACATGCATTTCAAGGACCTGAGCAACTACCATACTGTCTCCCAATTCAGTCACCTAACAGCGCCCATGCTATGGTTTGAGATCGTAAGTATCCCGTAACCAACAAGATAAAAACCAATAATTAAGATCTGCATCTTAAGATGATGCCAGGGCTACCCGACGCGTTGGACTCACGCTTCAACTTTTACCTCAACATTTTGCCGCTGGTTAACCCACTTATTTTTTGGAGTGCTCTGCTGCTGGGAGTTGGTCTTTTGGGCTATGCAATTACCAAGGCTACCCTTCATATGACTAGCTACGGCCGCCAGTCGGCCAAAATTTCCGAAGGCAACTACGTTAAGTCCAATCTTCTCCAGACGCTCAAAGACAGCGACGATGGGGCAGCTAATCAAGTTTACAGTCCCTGCGAAGTAAAGCTGATAGTTGACCGTCCTGGTTCTAAGGAGCAGCAAGTTATTGTGCGATCCATTGGCGATGACTCGGTTTTTCAACAGGTGCGTCGAAAGTCGGCCTACGCTCTGGACATGGAGCCAGCGTTATCTGACGCAGGCGAGAGCGGCGACGAGGGCCACAACTACGTTATCCCTCTGAGTCGCAATTTTAAAACTTCCATTGCATTGCCTAAAGCCGAATCCATAGAATCCTACGACGAAAGACTATTGAAAGTGGATTTAGGAAACGAATGTTTACCAACAATAGAAGCGTTCGACCAGGTGAGTTCTTTTATCCCTCCTTAAAGCTATAAAGCTATAAAGCTATAAAGCTATAAAGCTATAAAGCTATAAAGCTATAAAGCTATAAAGCTATAAAGCTATAAAGCTATAAAGCTATAAAGCTATAAAGCTATAAAGCTATAAAGCTATAAAGCTATAAAGCTATAAAGCTATAAAGCTATAAAGCTATAAAGCTATAAAGCTATAAAGCTATAAAGCTATAAAGCTATAAAGCTATAAAGCTATAAAGCTATAAAGCTATAAAGCTATAAAGCTATAAAGCTATAAAGCTATAAAGCTATAAAGCTATAAAGCTATAAAGCTATAAAGCTATAAAGCTATAAAGATATAAAGCTATAAAGCTATAAAGCTGTAAAGCTATAAAGCTATAAAGCTATAAAGCTATAAAGCTATAAAGCTATAGAGCATTAAAGCTATAAAGCTATAAAATATGTGGACGTTGATGCACTCATGGGTTAATAGTAAAAACAAATCGTCCGCACACAACTTATTCCTTTGACAAACGAGAACGCACTGACAAAAAGCCGAACGGTTAGGCAGCCGACGAGACTACCTTGTATAATTGTATCATGGATGCACTACGGCATGATACAATTATACAAGGTAGTCTCGTTGGCTCGTCGACATTCAAGTGGCCCGTATGACACCAGGCACGCGCCTGTTTGGGTAAGGTGTTAGTAGGCGCTATGGAAAATATGGGACAGAATACGAGGAAATTGACTACCGGCGTGCTGCCAGGTTGTTAGCTTGCATGTTTACTAAGTGTGTTAGTATTAAAGATTTTAATTTGGGAAGGATATCTACGTTAAAGATTAGTATGGACAAATCATTATAATTTGCCCATAACACTCTAAAAGGTTCATGCAGTTCAAAGGAGGCTCTACAGTGGTGCAACAGTAATGGGATATAGGATCTAGTACTTCTACATGGTACGTGGAAATTAAGCTGACTCAACAAGTCAGCACTTTTCACATCACCATGGATAAGGTTAAAAATAAAAGTTATCCCTAGCATCGTTCTACGATTGGCTAAGGACGGCAAGTTTATTAATAGGAATCTACTAGAGTAGAAAAGTAATCTTTGGTTTGCATCCCACTTTAAACCGCGTAGAGCGAAAAGTAAAAAGTTTTTTTGAACCGACTCGATGCGTTTGGTATGGACGCCGTACTGAGGGCTCCAAACGCAGCTTCCATATTCTAAGATAGGACGAACTAAATAGGTATATAAAGATTTAGTAACATAGGGGTCATTGAATTCCTTCGACCACCGTTTAATAAATCCAAGCACACCCCTGGCTCTATTCACCATAAACGAAATATGATCAATAAAGTCAAGTTTTGGGTCCAAGCGGACGCCCAAATCATCAACAGAATTCATTTTTTCCAAAGAGAAGCAGTTCAGCGTGTAAGTAGCAAGCTTAGGAACGACACGGGAGAATGTCATTAGCTTGCATTTCGAGCCATTTAAGTTTAATAAGTTTACACGGCACTAAGTTTTAAAATTATTGAGATCTGTTTGTAAATCCAACTGGCAGGCAACGTCATTATATTGCAGAAAGCTTGACGTCATCAACTGACGTCAAGACTTTGGGCAGGTCATTTATAAATAATGTAAACAATAAGGGTCCCAAATAGCTTCCTTGCGGGACGCCAGATGTAACCCTTAGAACATTAGATAAATTATTCTTAAAGAGGACTTTTTGCGTCCTGCCATTCAGTTAACTTGAGATCCAATTAAGAATATCAATTGGAAAACCCATTAAATCGAGTTTTCTAACGAGGAGAAAATGGTTAACAGAGTCAAATGGATGAGAATTTGTTAAAACACGTTTTATTTTCTTATGCCAACTATATAAAATAGTCGTGAGCCATAGCCCGATATGACCTAATAGGTTGTTTTCGAGCATTTCTAAAGAAATTCTTTCAAAAGGATGATGGAAAATAAAACAACGAAAATAAAAAGGGCAGTACTCTACAAAATATAAAGCTAGAAAAATACAAAAATCTACTTATAAATCTACTGGTATACATTTAGACCTCTTGTCAGGTTTTATGTGAAAAAAATATGCTTAAACAATATACAACCGATTTTGTTTACCAAAATAATGTATTCTTGAATTAAAAATAGGTGCTTTGCTTAAGAGAAAAGAAAGAAAACGAATATTCATTCATCCAAACTTTTTTAGTTCTTATTCTTGTTGTCGTTGACCGATTTCCCTGAAATTCTCTTTATCGCGATCTATGCCGAAGCAAGCCGAAAAGGAGTGCGAAAGATAGCCATTCAAATGACAATTTTAGAAGTAAAAGAATAGATGCATGTTGAGCTTAGCATTTACACCTTAATTGTTTTCATCTTAAATTTAATTCTATAAAAATGTAATATTGTTATTGTTGTCTTATAAGTTACTTTATTAATAATTAGAACATTTTGCTTTGGCATCATGTAAGGCTTTAAATTGACTGGAATTGAGTAACATAAGCTACATATATACATATCCAAAATAAAAAGACATATTTGCTTTTGCTTTAAGCATTGTCCTATTTTCGGCTTACTTTTTAAGGGAAATCGGCCAACAAGAACAACAACTAAAAAAAGTTTGGCTTTGAAAATAATTGTAAATTTGTGTAAATGCTTTTGACCACCCCTGTATATATATTTTTTACTGCTCTCCATTGTAATTATTTACTTACTTACCTTCCTTTCTTTTCAGCTCGCCACCAGTCTTGTCAGTAGCGGGTTTTGTAGCTCGCCTTCATCAATCCAGAGTTCCAGGTCACGCGAGAGCTCCCAGAGTGGTAGCCCTAGAAAGGACTGGGTGCAGTGCATTCAGTCTGATCGATCTATTACCACAATAATAAAAGACCTTTAAATACCTCCATCAGCGAGTAGATTTAATTTTTGCTAGGTGAAATTATATTCAATCGTAAATTAGACATACTGGTTGTTCAGCACATCGCTGTTTTTGGGTTTATTTTAAATTTTAAATAGTATATATTATTGTAAAATTGTAGCAATTTTAGTACTGTGATAACATTGAGGGTAAAAACGCTTGTAGTTGTGCAAACTAGTAGGAAATTCTACAACTACCGCTGTAGATAGCATATACTAACATATAAATTAAAACTGAACAACAATTTATATGTAGCTATTTACATAAAATTTTTAATTAAGTTAATTTTGGTAGCCTCTATAAGGGGACTTCAATAGAATTTTTTCATACACCAATAAAATTTAAGTTTAAGTTGCTAAAGAATGCTGTGATGTTGTATTGATATAGATGTATGAACAGAGTTTGTATATACCCTTTACATGCACATATGAATAAAAAAAGTTTCTGTAACATAAATAAAATTATTTAAACCAATATTTTTATTCATTGAATATATTAAGACCATAGTTGCTCGATTAAATATTTTCTTGGTTTTATCAGCTTTATTTTTTTTAATCGCATTTCCGTGCGAGGCTAATATGACCTATAATGTAATCGGCATAGGAACTTTGGATTTGAGGTTCCTCATTATCTGACACTGAAGAAAGGTTCATTAAAGAAATAAAACGCTGATTCTTTGAACGGCTTGTCAGTATGAATCGAGTAATTATCGCAAACATTGTTAAATTTATATGTGATTCTTGGTCCATGATCCTTGTCCTGGTTTCTTCAGAAATTCTGGTCCGTGTTGTGACAAATTTACAATTTACAAATTTCCAGGATCAACTGCATCTGAAAATAATATCAGCAATATTTTGGGCAGACGGCAAACGCTTGTGGTTTGTGGGGAGTAACGCAGAGGCTCGTATGGCCCTTAGTATTCCGGATGTTATTTAGATGGACCTGGAGATTTTATGCGGTTTCAAAGACAATAAAGATCTGATGTTTTAGCGAAGACATGTAATTAACCAGGTATCCTCTCGGGGGCATCTGGTAGTGATGCCAGTGCTGGGCACGTAAGTACCTTGTTCTTGCTTGCATTAGTGTCGGAAGACGACAGATAAGATGTTCCAAGGTTTTAGTTGGCTCGGATTCATCGCACTTTCTACAGTTCTCATTGTCGGTGATGCCAAGCTTGACTACATGGGTCGCAGCCACTGACATTCTGCAGTCATAACGTGGTAACCGCAGCACGTAGTGGCTCAATTAATGAATGCGCTCTTTGGAAATGATTGTGCTCATGTGTCTGCCCATTTTTCCAACTCGTTCGGAGCGATCTTAGGGAGACGAGAAGATTTTCTGTTCTGTCAATCGCCAGCCTTGCTGCCATCGATGCCCGAGTCTTCGGGTCACATAAATATTGTTGTTTTATCATCTGGGAATCATGTAGGCAGTGCAGCAGATGTCTTGACAAATTGAACTGTGCCTCATCCTTGTAGCTACTTATTTCCTGATGCAACCATGCGTTGCTCAGCCTTTCGTGAATATCGTGAATATCTAGGGAGTTAATTCCGATTATGGTTTCGAGTGCTTTTGTCAGGGTTAACCTTAGTGCCAGGCGCTGGGTTCTCTCCATAAGCCTCTTAAAAATCTTCTTTTCCATGGCTTGCCACCACAATAAGTCTCCACACAGCATTGTCAGACGCACCACCCCAATATAGACCCAGTGCATAGGAGCGGACAAAAGAACCCATGTGCAGCTAAGCATCTCTTGTCTAATACAATCTCGAGGTATTTAACTTGTGTTTTTGGAGTCGGCCTAGTTGTATTGCACTCTGTATCTCTTGGTAAAGAAAATGAGGTCAGTCTTGTACTTGTTGATACTGAGTCCTAATTTGTCCAACCACTCACATATCTCCCTAAGACATAAACGAGCTGAGCGTCGATAAACAGACTACCGTGCTTATTAAGCTTATTTCGTCAGCATAAACTGTTATCTTTGGGACCTTCCTATCGAATCTTTTGATTAGGTCAACGGAAACTAGATTAGGGGTATGCGTTCCTTCAGATTTTTTATCCAGAATTTAATGACGGGGTGCGTGTTGATCGCTTCAAGGCGGTCCATTATTTAATCTGCGCAATGGTGGCTACCAACGAACGTCGTCTCCGCCGATTTCCTTTTTTTTTTGTAGGTATGCTGGTTGATCGACAGTGGTCTTCCACATAATTTCTGATATATTGGTCCAGCATTTTTTCGAGCGTCTTTAGTAAGAACAAGTTTATGGTAGGTTGCTTCTATTTGAAGAATTTCCTGAGGTTATTGCATCGGAGCGAAAGATCCAGTATGGTATCTTGGTCCTTTTTGCTCGTTCTTAATATGGGGCATGATAAGTGGTACGCGTCTAGTAATTCCTTAAAGAGTGTCTCTTGGGACTTTTTTATGTCCTCCGCGGCTCTAAACGTACTATTGTATTCTTGAACTTTCCCAAGTTAAAGGTATGGTTTTTGTCACTAGACAAGAAACCGAGCAATTTCAGGAAGACTGCGCGGAAGCAGTAAATGAGCCATGAGCCATGAGCCATACTATTAACGGATAAAATTGTACCTTATTTATTTTTGCGGATTTGTACATCTTTCAATTTCGTCACTGTTACTTGTTTTCAATTGAAATTGCGGCCATCGATAGCGTTGTTTAGTTTTGTTTGTAAAATATCAGTCTTGGAAAAAAGTTTAAAAATGCTTAGATTATAAAAACATATTGTTGATGGTTAATTACATCGTATGTTCAAATTTTTTTTAATTAGCATGAGATGATGCCGACACATATAAAATAGCATAGCGTCGTGGTAAACAGATGTGATGTCAGAACATTCATATAGGCAAAACATACACCGTCAGAATAAAATAGAGATGTTTGCTCATATAAACAATTACATAGCGTCATGGAGAATAGATGCCTTGCAGTACCCCAAGTCATCAATAGGCCACTGTCATCAACGTGCCGACTGCGACTTGTACCAAGACGTCGCTCCCAGGCGGCAATGGTGCCAAGCCCGACTCTCTCGCGCTCTTATTTGCTCTCGGTTGATGAAACTTTAATGAAAAAAAGACTGAAATACATAGACCTGTCAGCAGTAAAAATCAGCATGTAATAAGCGGGGTAGGTTCTTTTTATTTACGTTTTTAATTTTGAAAGAGTTAGGAGTAATATATGCATTTTATCTGGCTAAAGGTTAAATGGTTAAATTCCTCTTAAATACATATGGTAAACAGTGGAATTTGTGGAAATAAGCGGAAATATATTAAAAACAGTGGAATTATATGGAAAACAGTGGAATTACAGTGGTTGCGCCCGTAGGCCATAAATCGGAAAATCGACTTGAAAATAATTATTTAAAATGTAAAGAATTTGTCTCAAAAATGTCCACATTTTGTCATTGCAAGCTAGTTTTTTCCGGAAATCTAACGGGACATTCTAAAAATAGAATGCAAAGTGTGAACACGTCTTCAATTTTGCTGCTGCAGCTACGTTTAGTGAGCTTTTCGTCAAAACAAAAGTGAAGTTCAAAGTGGTCGGACGTTCGCAAAAATTAACCAAATTTAATTATTTAAAATGGATATTGAAGTTGAAGGTATTTACTTTAATAAGTTCTTTTACTGAAATTAATTTGAATTATTTGTTATTTGTTATTGTTTAATGAATACTAATTTTCAGTGAATTGTAATCGTCATTTTCTCTGTTTAAGTAGATTTTTAGATATGTTGCCCCCCCGATCCCCCTTTATAAGTGTTATCAGGGTATTTGTCAATGTTTTAAGGTAATAAAAATGTTAAATGTAGCTGCTGATATTGCTGATTTGTATACAATAATTAATAATCTCAAGCTCTCTTACCGTTTTCAAGGTCAAATTTTCGACGCAGTCTGCTGTTCGTTTGTTTTTGTGATGTTTCTTTTGCGATCGTCATTCGTGTTGTCATTTCTGTTTACCAAAAATTTTGCTTCTTATTTTTTCAATTTTTATTTTATCGCTTTTTTTAGGTGCTTCATGTATCTGTGAATTTTCAAAAATAACTTCGATTTACGAAAGCGTGCGCATATGCACGGTATATAGGCTTACTAGGGGAAGATTAAGGAAAATTTTGTAAAAATTTCAATTGTTTTTTACCGTCGGATTTCGAGAAAATCGAATAACAGTGGTGGTGTATTTGGGCAAATATCCAAGGCGCGAACTATGAAAATGGAACCAGCAGAGAACCACTCGCTGAACCAGACCATGGAACCATGTTAAGAAAAATACTAAATTTAATGAAAATTTAAATTTAAACCGCGTAGAGCGAAAAGTAAAAAGTTCTTTTGAACCGACTCAATGCGTTTACTATGGACGCCGTACTGAGGGCTCCAAACGCAGCATCCATATTCTAGGATAGGACGAACTAAAGAAGTATATAAGGATTTAGTAACATAGGGGTCATTGAATTCCTTCGACCAACGTTTAATAAATCCAAGCACACCCCTGGCTCTGTTCACCATACACGAAATATGATCAATAAAGTCAAGTTTTGGGTCCAAGCGGACGCCCAAATCATCAACAGAATTAATTTTTTCCAAAGAGCAGCAGTTTAGCGTGTAAGTAGCAAGATTAGGAACGACACGAGAGAATGTCATTAGATTGCATTTCGAGCCATTTAAGTTGAATAAGTTTACACGGCACCAAGGTTGAAAATTATTAAGATCTGTTTGTAAATCCGACTGGCAGGCAACGTCATTGTATTGCACGCAAAGCTTGACGTCATCCGCGTACATAAGTACTCTGGAGTTAGTCAAGACTTTGGGCAGGTCATTTATAAATAATGTAAACAATAAGGGTCCCAAATGGCTTCCTTGCGGGACGCCTTAGAACATTAGCTAAACTATTCTTAAAGAGGACCTTTTGCGTCCTGCCATACAGATAACTTGAGATCCAATTAAGAAGATCACTTGGCCAACCAAAACTTACGAGGAGAGAATG